AGAGAGCTAGTAAAAGTAAAAACTGTTATGAGTTGCCACATGATAACTTTATCTGCCTTGGATGTTGGCAGCTATCTGATAAAAGGCTTGTCACATATGCTCACTAATGGAATAATCTCTGATCCCTGGTAGTCCAGGGACAGCAATATTGAACAATTAATGCCTGAGAAACATTATTCTGATTTTCCTTCAGCTGTTTTTATTTTTAATTTCTGTGCCTCAAAAATGGTCAGAGGGTCAGACATGCATTACACTTACTACAGAGAGATAACAGCCACATACTGTTATATATAACATAAGGCACAGATTACTGCCCTAATAGTTTTGTATTTCTAAACAATGTTAGGAGACATCAGACATCCCTGGAAACTCTGACCTAAACTCTGAAACTCAATAGCATCAACTAGAATTTCTGAGGGGAAAAAAAAAAAATCTTAAAGGAATCATAAACACTTAAGTCATGTAGGTTACAAGGCAGTTTTTTTCCTCATTTTCTGAATCAAGTGGCTTAGCACAGATAAAATAGTTCACAAACAGTTTAAACTGATAGAAGCTGACAGAAGCAGTTTGCCTTTCCTCATCTCCAGCCACTCTGACCCTCTCTTGCACCAGCCTATGTAATCTAGTCTGAACAGTAAATCAGACTGAGGATCCAGGCTAAAATAAGCCCCAAAACTGTAAAGTAATTAGTTTTAGCCTTATTGATTGAACATGTTCAAGCAATTTGTCAAATTAAAGCATAAGAAATCAAAACTGCACTCCTCAACTCTATTTAAAAAGAAAACAAAAATTCAGACTTAAAGCAGATAAAGGAAAAAGCCCTTTTTACCAATACATGAAGTTTTGTTTTCTTGCTCATTCACAGATTGCATGTGCATAATGCAGTGCACAGCATACTGTGTTACCTGCAAGAGCTAGAGAGTGTTTACTGATGGGTTTTTCATACCACCTACCACCATTAGACTCCTAAGTTAGACTATCAAAGTTTTCTCTGCTAAGATCACAGAGAGGCAGGCACTGCCCATTAAATGCCAGACTGTAATTGACTATGCCCTGGAAGGGATTTAGTTTATCCAGCTCTAAGCACTGATGCCTTGGGCAGTCACTTCTTCAAATACTTGACCAAGCAACATCAGCACTTGGGAGCACAAAGCACGTCAAAAAGAGACCTCCATTCAGGTGACTACTTCAAGGCAAGGTGTATGTTGCTGTAGATGTGCTTTTTCCTCTCCTTTAAGGGAAGCTCTATAATGTAGACATGGATTTACAAATGCCAGTAATTGTCAGGGGAAACTTTGGTGCTTGTCTTTCAAGCACCTGGGTTTCCTGCCACCTTGAGTACTTATTTCCTATAGTACCTCAAAAAGAAAGTTTGAGTGAAACTGCCTTTGGGGGAATGAAGGAAGGACAGAAGACATCAGCCCTAAACCCATGATTTGCTTTTTTATTCCATCAAAATACCATAAGAAGTGCAAATCATAAAAACAGGCATGCAAACAGCATACCTACTGTGACAAGTTTGCCAAAGAACCCATTATTGTACCTTTTAGGCTTCTGTCCTAGTTGGTATCCATGAAAAGTGCGCAGCTAACATCACTGCCTTGTATTGAGAACTGAACAATGATGTCTTGCCTAATCTCTGCATATCACTCCTGAATTGAAGAATCCCTGCTATTTTTAGAACTGGTCTCTGTAATATTTGCTAATCTCAATTTATGGAGTATTTATTTCTTTAAATGTCTTGGGTATATGAGCTCCCAGGGAGTAGAGATAGATAAGTTCTTTTGGATCTTCTGGCTCACAGAAAATTGGAAGGGAAGAAAAACGGGATCATCAATACAAATACAAATTGTATTTGTATTTGAAATTGTATTTGTATATTGAAAATACAGGAGGTCTGATTTATATCTGTGTTACTCCCAAGTTACGTATTATACCATTTTGGATCATAGGAGTTAAACAGATGCAGCCTGGGTATGACATGGAAGGAATTAGACCTTTTGTCATTCACTCCCATCCTGTTTGCTATAATAAAAGCAACATGAGTGTATCCTTTTAAAAAAAATCTGGAAAAGTCTGTATCTTAAGGAATAAGCAGTGAAAATCTCTGTATTGGAGAGAGATGACAGACTCATGCAGACTGCATGCCTGGAGCTAGACATAGTATTATTTGAATTTGCATGAAAAAGAGCACCCAAAGCAGCACTTTGAAGGATCAGCTCTCCTGATGACATTTGCAAACATCCAGTTTCAACATTTATTCCTAATTTAAAGCATTGTACAATTAAAAAAATAGCTCACTAATATCTCAGGAAATTCTTCCCTTCAGGAGGTTTCTAAACCCACTGGTGCCCTAAGAAACATTTGTACTTTCTGCATTACCCTGCTCTTACTCCAGTATACAAAAATAATTGGTACGATACAGACTGTGTTAAGGAGGATTCGCAGAGCTGCTTTTTATTGTACCAGTATTTCCTGATTTTCAACAAATAGAAAAAAAGCAGACTTCAGAAAAGAAAAAAGCCCCAAAACTTACTTTCTCTGCCTTTCCTCCCACACACCACTAGCCAAAAACAGTATTACTGCAACATCACTTTGAAAATATTTACATAGTACTAGTGGGAAGGCAGCTAAGCTGTGATACTTGTACATGCTTGAACATTTGGCCAAGGTAAAACACAAATAAAGTTGGCAATTTTCTTTTTAATTAATTCTATTATCTATCCCAACTAGAACAAGCAACGAATCAGAAAAATGTTCGTGCTTTTGCAGAAATGGAAAATAGCAAACTTATTTTCCAAGCAAAGGAAATAGCTAGTGGGAAGACAATAATGTTTTCAATTAGCAAGAAAGTGGAGCCAACCTTCAAATTTCCTTTTCAGTGCACAGGAGTAGGTTCATTTAATGAAACAGAGAATTTTTATGGTGGCAGGCAGATTGTTCTTTGGTAGATGAATACGGCAGTGCTCAAGATATCTTTAATGTAATAGATTTTGCTTTAATCAAAATTGCAGAGATAACTTAAAATAAGCACCTCATTTGGGGAAAGAGAACTGCTGAGATATTGGCTTAATGTGCAATTACTGCTAACACCTATTGGCTTAGCGACAGGAGGAAAAGAGGGTGGCAAATGTGATGCCAGTGTCTGAAAATGCCTCGGTGGTCATTTGTGGAAGAGATGCTAGTAGAACTGATACGCATGGCAGAAAACTGCCAGAAAGAATGCTTAAGAACATATGGACAATAACACAGGACAATGGGTTAGAATAACTGGGATTCTGGAGACCAACTTCTTTGAATGATCACGCAGATAAAGGCAATTTGACTGCTATTTGACTTCCATTTCAAAAGCTTCTGATGAAGTTGACTATCAAACTCAAACGATACTATGAGGGAGGAACTACAAAAATATATCAAGAAATAACGATGGATTTTCATTGCTAACTAAAAGTGAAAAAAAAAAAGTTAAGAATAATTGATTGTTTTCTTTTACAGTGGATGGATATTACCTGAGAGTATCATGGGTATGTTTTCAGTACACTAACAAATGAGCTGGAAAATGAAGGAATAAAAAGGGACAGAGTTTTCTGATGATATTCAACTACAGAGGTTAATAAAAACAAAAACAGACTGCATATTTCTGCAAGAGGACCTCATGATGTTGAATGATTGTAAAATAAGCAGAAAAATGTAAATCAATAATAAATATAGTCACTTGCTGGAAGAAAAATACAAAATGAAACAAAAGCAGCCTCAGGTATTTACTACTTCCAACAATATGCCTGAGATTCAGTTTTTGCCAGTACAAGAATTACACCCAAAATAATAATAATACAGTAACAAATTTACGGTAAGAAAAAGGTGTGGTATCACCTATTCCACAACTGAACTTTGGAAATCATTGCTACAAGACATTGAATATCAAAAGAACAAATGAACAGATAGATGGTAGAATAGATGAATAGAGAGAATAGGTGAATTGTACTAAATGCAAAACTAGAATAAAAAAAGACTCTTAGGGGCTATAAATTACAAAAATGCAATATATATACAATATAGTGTATAGTGTCTTCAATGTGCCTGTATGATAAATACCTCAAAGGACGTTGAGATGGCTTACTATCTGCTTATTATGTCCTTAAACTTCTTTCCTGAACATCCAAAAGTGGCCACTGCCAAAGAAAGGATACAGGACTATAAGTACTTCTGAGTCAATCCAGTGCAGCCACTTTTTATGTTGTATGATGATCACAAGTACTGCCGGCACACAAGTAATTTAAAACAGAGAGACAGAAACCATCTACATTTCCAAATGAAGACACTGATTCTAAAGTAGCTTACATTTACCTATTGGGAAAGTAAATCAAAGTCTTTTGAGAAAACCTTCTGATGGATAGTGTCAGATTTTGATTGTAGGCTACAGCCATGACCTTGTAAAAAAAACCAAAACCAAACAGGTAAATATTGCTATTATTGGTTGGGAACAGGATTTAATTAAAACTCCAGAGCTGAGCACTCAGGCTTGCAGAAAATGTGGTGTGGGATTCACCATGAATTTGGCATAGCCAACTGCCAAGCTAAAAAATCCTTAGAGACTACTTCTAAAATAAGACATGAAGAAAAAGCTGTGGTAGTGGTTGTGATGGAATCCATCACATGTTACCTCCAGATGAATTACTCTTTAGAAGTGCCTTTCTTTCCATTGACTATGAAGGTGATCCAAGTGACTAATTCAGATACAGAAGTTTTCATTAGTGGTCAAAAATCAGATTAGATGACCCCCACGGCCCTGGAGCCTCATTAACTGAAGTCCAACTTAACTTTTAACTGTACCTGCTTTGCAAACCAAAGTCCTCCACGTAGTGCAATATTTGCAAGAATCAAACATTTGATATGTGTGGAACAAATTATTTCGAAGAAATGCACAGACAATTTTCATGACATATAGTAAATTTTGAGGTTACTCAACCTGTAAGTCAGATAATGTTGTCGCTACTTACATCAGTTTTAGGTCGTGCTCCAGTTGACACTTGGTAAGGTAAACAATTTAGATCCTGGTAGTCTCCTCTTCTATTTTTCCAAGATCCTTTTTCTTGATGATCTCCATAAAGGCCTGTCTCTACTTGAACAGGGCACTGTAAGAGAATTTTTAAAACCCTATAAATAAAGACACGTCAGAAATATTTTTAATGTGAACTCTAAGGTAATAACTTTGGAATCTTATCTTTTCAAAGCTTTTTTTTCCCTCTAATGTAAGGCAAATATTTGGTTTCAGTATTTTTTTCATAAAAGCATCTGCTGCATCATTTTTACACTTTGCTAAGTTAGACATCCAGCCATTATGGGAAGTTGCTTCCTTAACATCCAGTATGCACAACTGGAGAACTAATCAGAAATAGTACACTTTACCTAAAATTAAAGGAACTGAATTATTTTTTAGTGAGAGAAACGATTTTATTCTAATTATTTTAAAAATATCTTTTAACTTTATTTCATGTTTATTTTTGTGTACTAAACAGACGCTTAGCAAATTCCCATTTTCACATTACAGATTCTGAACTATTCAAAACAATTTTTTCTTTATTCCCCAAAACCTGGAGAGTTCTCACTCAACTGCTCTATTCCCACACCATTTTTTAAAAGGTGGATGTCCTAACTCTGGGCCCACACTGAATGCAGTGTCAGGAAGAGACCAACTGCACAACATTCCCCACGTATCCTGGTTTGCCCAAGGAATAACTGGGTGAGTGAGCAAGAAGCAATACATGCTTTAATCAAGCAGAATTCGTCCTAAAGACAATTAGGGAAACAGGGTCATGGATGCACTGCAGAGTAGTCACAAGCTGTTGGGTACAATCATTCTAATCAGCCCATTTACAAATGGCTCTTCCCCTATACAAAGTGACAAATGTGCTGCTGATCTTCAACAGCAACAACCCAGTTCCCAGTTAGTATATATCGTAGGGATGTAAACTGAGGAGGCTTTGAAAAGGTGACAAAATAATTAGTATGCCGCCCCTCAAAAGTTTGAATACAAAATACTAATGCAAAAGAATTAAATGAATGTGTAAGTTAAAGAAAATGTTTTGTTCAATGAAAGTCATATCTCTAATAAAAAATGGGGTAACTATAATCAAACAGGATTTCCCTGCCATTCATTAATAAGAGAAGACTAAAACCAAAAAAAAAAAATGTGATACTCATTCTTAAGATTTCCTGCTTTTTCTATACTGAAACAGAGTACAAGATACTAAGTGGCAATGAAGCAGATATGTTAAAAAACGGGAAAACACTGAAGCAAGAGTGATTTATCTCTGATGTTTCATTTAAAAAGTGTCTTCTTCTATACTGCTAAGAAAGATTTTTTTTTCAGAGAAAAGGTACAGCTTTTACAGGAGTGGAACTATTAAATGTGTTTTTCCAAAACTAGCAGTTTTGCTGTTAATACATTCAGAGAGTACAGCTTTTTGCATTTACATCATGTCTTTACAGCATTGGTGAGAGGTTTCAGAAAATAATTGATTACAAACAAGTATTTTTAATATCTTCTCTGGATCACCTTCTGAGGAATCCAGTCAGTGCTACTTCCTCATAGTATTTTCCAACAAAAAAATGACCAGTATTAATTTGTGGTTTACATAGATGTAGAAACAAGTCATCCCTTAGCATTCATGCAGAAGTCACTATGTTTTAGAAAACACCTTGAATTTGCTCACCAAAATGCTGCAAGACTCCCTACTCTTACCCAATAGGTCCCATAATATAGGTTCCATAATCATCCAGTTGATTTTCACTAGCACATATTTTGACTTCTTCTGTAAAAAAAATCTGTTTAAATGAGTATCATTAATAACAGATACCTTCACACCAGGAAAACCCAAAGAGTAAAAAAATATCAAAGAATTACTTCCATGAACAGTGAAAAATCCTTCAGTAGAAGACTGAATGGCTCAACCTAGTGATTAAATTTCAAACTATATTTTTGAGATAGAGCATTTGCCATAAGAAATAATTCTGTCATCTCTTAAAAACTGTCCACACTCTCAAGAGAACAACTTCCAGAGCAGCAGCTCCAACAAACTATGTTCCTACTCATAACAGTAGTCTCTTGCTTTGGAGATCTTGGGTCTCCAAAATCAGCCTTACAGCTTTGAACAGTTCACCCAAAACCACTGTCAATCACAATTTCTTGTGTCAATACCGAGCTCAGAATAAAACCATATGAAGAACACAAAAGTGGTTCATTTTATAGAAGCCAAATTTACACAGTTACTAGCAAACATATGTTTGAGAGATTTCTTCTATCTAGACTTGTTTCTATTCAAGATTCATGGTAAGTGACAAGAAGAAAACATTTGATATGTGTGGAACAAATTACAAGTTACAGTTAGAAATACGGTACAAATAGCATGAACTGTTAGAATATAAACTACTCATACAACTTGTGTGAAAACCAGACGTTTTTTTCCACTGCAACTGTCATTTTGAAATCTGCAGTACATGTTTCTTCACAGTACATTTATGGAGAGATTTATGAGGATCTATCTTTTCTTTGACTATGAAGTAAAACTAAGGCCACCCATTCTGAGGCAAATTATTCATTAATATTCAAATCAGAGCAGATTATTCCCTTGCTCTCCAAATTCTATTGCAGGAAACAGCAAATGGTATCCCATCATCAGTTCCACAACAGATTTTCCAAGACTCTTTTCTTGCTCTGATCCTCCTGGTGTTATCAGAAAGATTTTTTATTAAGTGACCTGTCCAGCTTCTACACTGATATTGGCTATTGGAGATTAAAAGGTTATTTCCAGTTTGTCAAATAAGGCTACAATAAAATGTGGCTGACTCACATATTTGCCTGTCCACAGACAACTAAAATGAAGAGATCTATCCTTCAGAGTGAGAAGAAGATGTGGATTGACAAAGAGGACTGCAATTGCTCAAATATCATATTAAGCAAAACAGTAATTTTGGTGCTGGTGTTGGGAATATCCTAACACTCTAGCAGAGGCTTTTGGTGGGAGCATATATCCCAGGAAAAAGGTTGTGATGAAAGTCCTGGCCTCTCTGTACTCAGAAGATGTCTTGCCACTAGGCCTCAGGAAAAGACGTGCAAGCATCTGGGGTGCTGGTGATGGCATTCTCTATGCAACCATTTCTGATGATGCTGTTCTTGTGTATCAAAGTTCATTTGAAAATGTTGCCTATTTAGATTTTTCTGCTGTTTACGTGCAATAAGCCCTTTACTGAATGTTTCAGCAAAGGATTTGAAGTTGTATCCTATGATCTTCAAGTCATCATGGAAAAAGAATGATGCCTAACCAAACCACAGCTTTTACCTTAGTAGAATAGGCACAGCCATTAAATAATGGGTGTCTGGATCACTGTTTACCAGACTGTCTCACACTGGGAAGTGTTTAAACACTGATGGCTGGCATTTTCTTGCCTGCTTTCAGACAGAAAAGCAGACTACACTGCCACTGTATATTGACAGAAGACACTGAGCATTCTCCTTCAAGAAGACAGAACACTGTCCCTTAATTATGAAATTAATTCAGTTGGACAGAGCTGACACATAGAGTAAGAAAGAAATGAAGACAGCCATGGGCACTCTGTTACTAACACTGTATAATTTGTAAACACATACAAAGTGCAAGAATCTGAATATCCCACCTGGAGAGACATGAACATTTACATTGTGATGACCCACGAAGATGCATACTTTAAGAATTTACTTCTACAAAATGAAGCAGCAGTGACAGCAAAAACATTCACAAAAGATCACCTTCTGCGAATTTCAAGCCAACATTCAGAGCTGAAAATCCACACAATTCTTAAGAACTGAGTAATCATATACTGAAGCAGAGAACAAACACTTAGATTTCTGATGCTGGTCATTCTCCATTAATTGCTTATATAAAAAACTCGCTTATTCAAAAATTAATAAAATAATATCATTGCTCCTTTAATCCTTCTTGCCCTCAAAATAAAAAAGTTTGAGAAACTTGAAAAACTGCTTGGGTATCATAACGAAATACTCTTAACTAGAGGATTACAATGGAAGGGAGGGAGGG